AAACCATGAAGATTCTATGAAAATTCAAAGAACCTATTGCAATAAAATGGCAATTTCATACTTTAACCCCTAATATTATAATATAGACATGTCTTCGTGTCTGTGTTATGTTTAACTCTGTGACGTCTCATTAAAACAACGTTTGGTTATCTAGTGTCTGTAATGGCGGAATGGCATTCAGCGTACCTACATTTTCTATGCACCATATCGACGTTGTGAACATTTACTTACATTACCCCTTACTGATGAAATAAAACGTGGAAAACGTTTAAGGTATTCAACTCGTGCAAATAGGGTATTTTGTGAACTAAAAAAATTAACCACTGCAGAGCTTCTATAAGCATCTAATATTTTTTATTTTTTTTATTTTTTATACATGACAGGCAAATTACTCCACTCCACCTGATGTTAAGTGGAAAGTGGTATCCAAACGCGAAGGAACCTAGTGCAGCGATGAAACCCTCACTGCACTAGCCACCTCCACCCTGCCTGCCTACAATATGCCTCTTCAATTTGAAGGCGTCCTTAAGGGAGACTGTTACCCAGCAGAGGGATGTTATTGAAGATGTTATATTACGACTTATTATTTATTATATTATTATTATATGTCTACGTATTTGTGAACCGATTTTGGTATGACTCGCATTTAAATTTGAAGGAAATATTCCACTTCTAAGGATGGCAAATTGGTTCAAATTTTAAAATGATAAACAACTGATTGTTTCAGGTGAAAAATGGCGAGACATGCGAACGACTCTCAGCCCGGCGTTCACTGGCTCCAAGATGCGCCACATGATGCCTTTTATGACCGAGATCAGCCAGAACATCATCACGTATTTGAAAGGTAAGCCGTACACTTCGCCAAAGCATACTCCGTGTAATGAAACTTTGAAATTCAACTGATGGTAAGCGACACGCCTGTCCATAACAGTTGCTGTGCCACTCAAAGCCTTAAATCGCAAAGATTTGAGGGGCACTGGCACTGCGCCCGTGACGCTGAGACATAAATTGACAAGTCTCATTCAAAACCGGAACACAGTAATGCTGACATTACTGCTTGGCGGCAGAAATAGGTAAGGTGGCAGTACTTCCCTGGACGAACTCTTTCACAAGGATCCTACTACTACTAGACTAGTATGCAGGAAAGCTACTACATAACACGAGTTTTTCTTATTAATGATTTTTGTGTTTATAAATACAATTTCATTTTTGAAACGTTTATTATCAAAATCCCCAGAATCGTTACTACCTCAATCGGTTCTTCTTATAGCGCGGGTCGAATGAAACGGACACTGGCTCTAGTTCAGATTTTTTTTTAAACGATATTAAAGCTATTTGAAAAATGTATATCGTATACTACACGTATTCTATCTAGTTCAGTTGATATAAAAAAGATCATTGGTATATACAAAGTACCTATTGAATACAGTTTGCTTGTAAAATTTCGAAGTTTGTGTTTCATGTATAGTGAAAATTTTTATGAATCCGTGTATATCCTCGATTTTACTATAATTATGCTTTTTCCAATGTAAATAAATAAATAAACAACGCACACACTCAACATAGCCCCGCACTAGGGAAACCCTGTGTCTCGGGTGCCATGGGCACACACATAGACGACCACAAATTACACCCAAACTCACGAGAGAAATAATTGTAGGCCATACAACTATTTCTCCCGGCCCGGGAATCGAACCTGTTTGGTTTAGTTTTCAAGTTTAGGTAATGTGATTGATTGAACAATTTCATTGTTATGCGGTATCAACCAAAGTCAAGTCCAACGACTATCGTGAAACTAACCTCATACGATGACGGTCGTGTCGTGATCGCATCGATTGCAAGTCGACACTTAATAGCACCGATTACAAATGATCAAAATCAACACAATTTAAATTATATTACAAGTTTCAAGTTCTTTACAACGGCATTACTATTACTATACTATACTATCCCGATAATTTGGAACGATTACATGCCCCATGGTCACGGATAACTAAACGGAAAACATCAGTTAAGTATAGACATTGATGTTTATCATCTGTCGCTGGCGGCGATAATCGTCGCAATTTTTTTTGTGAAGTGAAAGTTTACCAGGCGGCTGCGCCGGGGCAGCGATCCGTAATTATGAAATAATTGCATTCGTTTGATCCCTTGCTGTATCGTCATTACTAAAGCTTTATACATGAAATGCATGCATAAGGTATTTAAGGTTTCACTCTATAAATCATACTCTATAGAAACACGCTTACTTCTACCTCAATAGAAAGAAAAATCTGAAGTTATTTCTAAAAAAAACAAAGTACTGTAACTGGGGAGTAGCTTGGGTTGCGTAGCGAGAGGTACTTTTATGAATTTAAACTGGAATAATCTTCAAAATATACTTTATTGCACTTTTTTACATGTCTTCGGCGTTGAGTTATATTTCGTTATATCAAGATGTTCTATTCTTTTCTTCATTCTAATTACAAAACTATAAATTCAGCCAGTGATTCTACTCATAGAGTAGAGCCTAGACTACAGTACACACTTTGTACGGCGTAAATACTTCACGGAAGGTCATCAGTATTTGAATAATAAAAAAAACTACATCTTTCCTAACGTATACTTCGTACATTTTAAAAATGTGTATTTTGTTTTGAGAATACGCTTCCCTTGTCTGCTTTAGTCCTGCTTTGGCCGTCGGATGTGGAGGTTGTGTCGCTTGGGCTTAAATACGACTTTAAAAACGTATGCCAGACACACACATACAGGAAGAGCAAAGAATACCTAAAATCAATTAGCGCCAAAAGCTCGGTACCTTCTTTAAGCCTTTATAAAGTAAGGACCATGAATCGCTTTTATGTCCGATTACTCTGAAATATGACATTATTAAAGAATTTATCTTAACCCGGCGCCAATGACGTTGGGTCATATTGACCCGAGGCGATTTACAACGGGCATATTTTTGTTTTACGCCAATTGCACGATTTCAACGTTTGAGTAGCTGGAGATACAACCCTCCTCTACCCGACTCGCTGGTGTACTAAATGTGAAGCCATCTGCACAGCCAAGTAATACGTGCATTAAGTCAAAACGGGTCAATGTGACCCAGCGTCATCGCTGGCGTGGTATTTTTGTGACTGACATTATTGGTTTATTTACTGTTTATAATTAATTAACCTTATTCCTGCTGCTTGTTGCGTGCTGACAGACATCAATTTAATCATTTGGCACCAATACGTGAACTTTCCAAAGCATTTGTTGAACAATGCCAAAAATGTATCCTGCGGGCGAAAACTGCACTATTGATGAAATGTTGGTGGTATTCAAAGGACGATGCAAATTTACGCAATACATACCAACCTCTGGCACACGCGAGGGATGTCAAGTATGTCCGTTCAAAAAGGATAAAAAAACATCTCATACATGTAATGCATGCTAGATTTATATATAGGTACTATCTATATACCCGGATCATACGGGAAGGTACTGCAATAGTTGCAGCAGTTGCACGTCTCTGATTGAGGACGTAGAAGACTAATTTCTAATAATAAGTTTGAGTGACCTTTCTTTTAGTATATAAGACTATTAATTGCTATTATTATTCAGAATATTTTACTAAAAATAAAAGAAATATCAAAATTATGTTTTCAATGTTGATTTTGCACGTGTTATTGAGAACGCTAATTAAATATTTATTTATACAATTTATTGTTATTATTTTTATTTCAGTATATGTCTTGACGACCCTTACTTAATACGTATTTGTTAAAATTTAGACAACTACTTTAATTTTACAAAAAATTATCAATGAAATTCGGGTCACGATGACCCAACGTCACCGTCGGCGTAATTATTTTCACGTCATTGGCGCCGGGTCGTTTCCCAAACGGGGTAATATGCATTAAATGCACAGTAAAATTCATTGACTTACAATTATATGGACGACGGGTCTAATACAAAAACCACGAAAAAAATGTCCCAAGTCAACCTATTTAAACATAGTGACATGTAAAGGAATATGAAAAAGCTAAAACGTTGAATTTAAATTGTAATGTCATCGCAGTATCGCGCTGTCAGTCGAACAAATGAAGACTAAAGCGGAGTTTGACGCTCTGTATACGATTTTAACGCCTTACAAGTTCGGACACTTTTTAGCGCGAACCCGACGTCCATATTATTGTAAGTCAATGGTAAAATTGCACATTTTTAACCTCTCGTGACGCAGTAAAGTAAAGATCTAACTCAAAAACTGAACAACCCAGAAAAGTTTGAAATTCACCATATTATAGTAAATTATCATTCCGCCAACCATTTACATAAATTGTTTGTATTTATTAACGCAATTAAAAGTTTGCCAAAGTCTGTTCACATGAGAATATAAACGCGAAGAAGTTCTTTACTAAATTCAGTGTTCCGTGATATAATGCCATATCTTTTTGCAAGTTAAATGCTAAAGACTTGGTTTGCTTTACTGCGGGATTATGTCGAAAGAAATATGATAAAGAATATCTTCCTGCATTTTTATTATTAATGATGTTATTTTTGAGGAAAATTCATAGTAATACCTTAAGGAGGAGGTTTGTGGCCATTAAAAAAGATCTGCAATTTTCACAAATTCAATTCATATAATTCACTTTTCAACTCTTGCAGAAAATGTCAAAGGCAACGAAGACGTAGATATTAACGACCTCATCCGTCGGTACACCAACGACGTCATCGCATCGGCTGGTTTCGGCATTGTCGTCAACTCCGTCAAAGACAAAGACAATGAGTTCTTCAAGCTCGGCGAGGGCATTTTCAAATTTACTGGTTTGCAGAGGATTGCGTTCTTTATTGCCACAGTGTGGCCGAACCTTTATAAGGTATAGTTAATACGGGTTAAGAATGCACTAGCAAATTCAAACCAACAAATTCAAATTCAAGTCTTAAATAACAAATGGACTGCACTTGGAAATACAAACTATTAAGACTACTTTTTGCACTCCTAACAAGGTGAACAACCTCTTTTCAAAGTATCTCTTCACCAAAACAATACACAACAATATCCAAAGACAATTTGTTTCAAGAACAAAATACCAGCATGCCAAGGAAATATCGGTACCTAGGAAAGGAACGTACTTGCATATAGTAAAGATTTATAATCGCGTTTTTTTGCAGAAACTGGGGATCCCGCTATTTCCAGAGAGTACGACCAACTTTTTCAGAAATCTGGTCTCAACTACAATCGACTACAGAGAAAAAAACAATGTTGAACGTCCTGACATGATCCAACTGCTGATGGAAGCTACAAAAGGTTTGTTTGTACTTGATTTCGTGAACAATGGAAGGTCATTAAATGAAACAAAAACTACATATAACTTGGGTATCTGGTAACCGTCCTCGGGAATACTGGTACATGACACCCTTCAGCCGAAACTCCTCCTTCATGAAGGTCGACAGATGTTGAATTAGTACTCTCACCACAAATGAATTAAAATTCATATTGTAGCGGGACCCCAACTGCTCGACTCTCAGGATAGCATTAGCTTTCATCCGTTTATACTCCACAATACCCGCAGGCTTTGTGGAGTAATGAAGTCGTGATACGTATAACAATGTCGTCGTGCCGATGGACGCAATAGATGATTAGGGCCAGTCGGGGTGGTGCCAGTGAGGTAATAGATAGTGTATTTCTTTTTCTGTTTCACCTTTTTGAAACCATTCTCGTTGACGTCCTGGTCGTCTTGGTGGTACTGACGACACAGCTCCAAACATGAATTCCCGTTTCTTTTTCCCCTTCGTTGATAACCGCCTGGGTTGTGGTTGTGGATCAATGAGTTAGTTAGCAGCGGCAACAGCAGCGTAATCACGTTGAAGGGTCAATATTTCTTTTATGTTTATGTCGGCATTGCTTCATTTAACAATTTTATATATTTTACGGAAAAACCGATACCTTTTAGTCACGTTTTAATAAATCACATTACAGGTAACCTGAAACACAAGTCCAATGAAAATGAAAAAGACAATGTTGGATTTGCTACGGTAGATGAAGGTCTGAAACCACAGAGCGTAAATAGAAGTAAGTTGATGTTTTCAGTTTTAAAATAACCAAAGATATTTCAGTTATAGAACATGTTTTTAACTGCATGTTACGTTCCTTATAAATAAAAGTATGGTTTATAGGACAAAGCTTTTCTAATATTCCCAATTTTTGTTAACAGAATGGACCTTTGATGAATTAACAGGTCAAGTTTTCATATTTTTTGCGGCTGGTTTTGAAAGCTCCGGTAGCACGCTAGTAATGGCTATACACGAATTGTCAATAAACCCACATATTCAGGAGAAATTGTACCAGGAAGTCAAAGAGTTCAAAGAGAAAAACAATGCTTTGTCCTACGACAACATTGGTGATTTGAAATATTTGGACTGCGTTTTAAATGGTAAAATTTATTGTCTTCTAATAATAATTATTAAATAAAATTTGTAAGAAGTTTATTTGGTTTGTTTGCCAAAATTTTGTTTTTTTTTGTTGTTGAGAAGTTTTGTCTTCAACTGTGTATTGGTAATTACAGAAACAATGCGGAAATGGTCAGCTGCAATGATCATGGACAGAACTTGTACGAAAGCCTATGAACTGCCTCCACCTAGGGAAGGAGGCAAGACATTTAAAGTAAGTATTAAATAAACTAGCTAAATAAACCATACAAAACGCAATTTAACGTCTCAATCTTCGTGCTCTACTACAGTTGCTAAAGCTAGGATGAAGCGTATACTCAAAGTCAAAGTCAAAGTCAAAGATTATTTATTCCATAGGTAAAATAAATTTACACTTGAAAACGTCACATTTAAGCTACTGCTCGTTCACTACGCTGACCTCCCTGAGAAGAACGAGCAAGAAACTCTAGGGATTGCTCTTTTCAAAAAAACTTAAATGCTATGGAATACACTTTGAATCAAATTTGTGTGGATTCTGGAGCCATGTCGTCTTTCCATACATCTTTATCTAACACGTAGTCTTCAATTTTGTAATATGATTTTTCGATCAAAATATTTTTAATGTACTTTTTAAACTTAGGAAATGATAAACTTAATATATGCTCCGGAATCTTATTGTAAAAACGTATACAGTTCCCCATAAAAGAGTTGTTTACCTTGGTTAAACGAAATCGTGGTACCATGAGTTTGGACTTAGCTCTAAGGTTAATATTATGGATATCTTCTTTCTTATTGAAATTATGTAAATTTTTACGGGCATATAAAATATTTGAGTAAATGTACTGTGATGCCACAGTCATGATACCAGTCTCCTTAAACTTTTCTCTGAGAGATACCCGAGAGCCTAGACGGTACACAGAACGAATCGCTCGTTTTTGCAATATAGATATAGCATATGACAAAGTAAGCATGATGGTATTTGTGTATTAAAAACCTTAAGTTTTCTGTTACAGTTAAAACCAGGAGACATAGTTTACAACATGGTGAACTCCATTCACATGGACGAGAAGTACTGGCCTGAGCCGGAGAAGTTCGATCCCGATAGATTCTCTGATGAAAACAAACACAACATCAAGCCTTTTACCTTTATGCCTTTTGGTATGGGACCTAGGAACTGTATTGGTAAGTATTAATTCGTTTTCTGAAAATGATTGCTTCAAAATATCGTTTGGAAATAGTTTTGCTAAAAAGGCTTTCAAAGGGACAGAAAACTACTGATGAAAGTACATTTGTGATTTGGTGCTTGTGAAGAATGAAGGGAATCAGTTGGACAGAAAAAAAACCAATGAAGTGTTAAGAATAGTGCAGGAAAAGAGAAGCTTATTAAAGACAATAGAGAACCGAAAGCGTAAAATGTTTAGACGTCTATTCGGGCGTCACAGCAAATTTTCTTAGGAGCACCATAAAAGGGAAGATCGAAGAAAAGAGATGTAGAGGAAGATCGAGACGAAGTTATTTAGTCAGATAAGGGAAAGAAATAATGTCTTGTTGTATCAGGAAATCAGATGATTACTCCAACGATAATAGCCTAGATCTTAGTAATAATAATAACGCACACACCCATGCCAGCCTAGATCTTAGTAATAATAATAACGCACACACTCATACCTCTTCAATAGGGAAACCCTGTATCGCGGGTGCCAAGGACATACACGTAGACAAGTACAAATTACACCCAAACTCACGAGATAAATGAATGTCGACCATACACATATTTCTCCCGACCCGAGTATCAAACCCGGGACCTCTGCATGGCAGTCCAGCATGGTAACCGTTCGGTCACGGAAGCAGTTAAATAAGAAGGAAAATAAAATATTGCTTAAAAGATCACAAGTAGCTACGCTTAGTCAACTGTTGTGTAACCGAATCTTTGTTTCGGATCTTTGTCACTTTGCCATCTATGAGAAATCTATGAAAGTATTTCGTCACCCACTTAGGTAACTTTACAGCTACCAGCCCTGTATTAAGTAATAATTATAACAGACTAGTGGAGTAATTTCACAATAAATAATTGAATATCAATTGAAAACAAATTTAATTTAATTTTTAAGTTACTTAGGTTTGATGATGTATTTCAAAGATTTCAGGTAATGATTTGTTATTGTTTTAAACAGGTTCAAGATTTGCCATCCTGGAGTTGAAAGTCCTTCTCTTCGATCTAATCTCCAATTACAAGGTTGTCAAGTCTGAGAAGACCCTTATTCCAATCGTGTTGGAACCTTCTGAAGTCAACATTAAACCAAAGGGAGGCAGTTTTGTTCGATTAGAGAAGAGGGTATAAGAGTTGCTGTCTAGCGTAAGAGAGCCCGAAGAGAAATAAAAAATAGCCACTAGTTAACTCTCAGATGTACCACACCAGTTGTAAAATGTTCCTGTTGTGATAGCCTAATCAGAAATTGCCAGAAATTTGACGAAAATTGTGGGGGTAACCATATTTATGGTGATGATTTATGAATAAAATTTAGGACTGTAGTTGTAAAAGTACATCGTCTCATCATCTCCAGCGAAAAAGAACAATTTTTATCAACATTCTAGAAATAGTCTTAATGATATTATTATTGTTTATAGGTACCAGATATTAAGATTTTGTAACCATGTATGCTACAATTTTTAAATAATTTTAATAAAATTCTGAAAACAACAATTTCGACGCAAAAAGAGGGGAGGTATAAGTTTGAAGCATTTGCCTGTATACCTGTGTGTCCACCTCACAGTGTTTTTTTTACCCCTAAAATCGGACATGTCTCTGTTAACAGAGACGAAGAGAGAAGAAGGAGACAACCTCGACCAAAGTTTATGTCCCGTATTTGGTATTTTTTGAAAATAAAATTCTAGTGACCAAATCGTTGCAGCCAAGTAATTCGTTAGATTGCTGCACATAAAGACTAATTCCACAAGAAAAGTCAAGTACTAACTCCGCACAAATGCCGAAAAAATATTTTTTCAAGTTATCGGGACGTCACCGGGATTCTGAAGCTATGATATTTGGGTATAGCTCGACAGGTTCATCTAATGTAGTTTAACCATAAATTTTGTGTAGACTTCAAAAAACGTTTTCTCCAAAACTATTGTAGTGAGACTCGTGGGAGTTTTAGGTACTCTTTTTTTAGGGGTAAAAAACACACTGTGCTTAACGACTGAACTTAAAGCGTTTTTTTATTTGAAAGCTAATTTAATTGGAATAATTCTTAGCTATATTTGTTTGTCATCGACTACGGCTAACAGATTGACTGTATATTTGCAGTTCATATAGCCGAGTTCATATAGTCAACTTCATATAGCCGAGACCACGACTGCATGAAGTCGATAATTACTTCACGCGTAAACTGTATGCAGTCAATCTCGGCTGCATGAAATCAGTTTAAACCACTTATGTGGTCTGTGATTTAAACTGTGTTAATGCGTGAAGCCGTTGTCTACTTCATGCAGTCCAGTTCTCGGATAATCTGTGACAATTCGTTAGCAACCTAAGTCAGCCATGACTATGGAACCTGAAAAAGGGTCCGAAACATTCGTTCGTTTAAAAAAACAAACATGCGATTCAGATCCGAAAACTAGTTTCATTTCCTATGTGTAACAATCGCATAAACCTGAACACTACTGAGATGTAAAGATATCATCAGTTTTATTTGCAGTCAGTGTATATATGGCAGTCAAGAGCATTTTGTTTCAAAACAATCAAAATCAGAACAATCTTTATTTCATAGGTAAGCATTATTTCACTTGAAATCGTCACACTGGTTAAACTCTACCGCTCATTCGTAAGGCAGATTCCCCTGAGAAGAATGAGCAAGAAACTCTAGGGGTTGCTCTTTGTAAATAACATTTGTACGCATTCAACATTTACAACATATTTTTTGTTTTGCTTTCAAACATCAGAGATCGAGACTACCTCCATGACTACTATCACGGATTTTTGTCATCTACTCGTACTTGTCCCGTCGACTTGAAATTTGGTATACCATGGAAATTCGATGACATTACAATATTATCAACAACCAGGACTCATCAAAATATTAAGTAACCGACTCAGGTTCTTTGCGATTTTATTCTAATAAACAAAATATAGTATAATCAACGCCTGACCAAGAGCATTAACCTTGACAATAATGTAACAGCTGCCATCTGGTGGCCGTTTCGTGTATTATTACAATCGCATCGAGGGTTTACTTGGTACCATCTACTGATCAACGTTAAAAAACAAAATTCGCGTCCGAATAAGTGGAGTTACGAGTACATTTCTTTGTATGAGATTGGGTATCTGTACTAGTGTAGTATTATTATACTTCTTCTTAAAGCATAAAAAATGTTAGTAAGATAAGCAATAATTATTGTTTGTAATTTTGATATTCAAATTAGAAGATTTGTAATTGGCTTTTTGATATTCTTTACTTTATATGCCTTTTTAATAACTGTAAAACTTGCAAAAATAAATAATATAAATAAACAACATTTCATATTTTTATTATTTCGAATCCGACCAGATCGAAGGAATTTTTTCTGAGTGTTCAATCTTTGTATTAATAATTATAACATTTCATATGTTCACATTTTTGTTTTCAGTTTATTATCGGCGTTATAACAGTGTTTATCGGTCTCTGATTCTTTAATTAATGGTCATATTGATAACTTTATAGTTAATTTGCCATACGTGAATTGCCCAGATGATAATTTTGTTAATTGATCACTTTAATGTTGTCATTTGAATTTATAAACCAACGTTCAATTTGTGCTACCTCATCGTCATTCATCAGCCGCTTCTGGATTAACGCAATTGAAATAAAGAGATTTCTATTAAACGACAATTTTAGTTATAAGTTGACAAGTTCCATGTGCCTGTAATTTCACCAACACCCTTCGAAACCGGAACCCAGTAATGTAAGCATTAGGTGCTTAGCTGCGGAAATAAGTAAGGTGGCAGCACTTCCCGAACGGACTGTTTCACAAAGAGCTCTACTGTGATTTATTCAAGAACTTCAATTTAGAGTAAACCTCTTTTTAACCGACTTCAAAAAAGGAGGTTCACAATTCGTCTGTATGTTCTTTTTTTTGTATGTATATTACGCGATAACTCCGGTATTTGTGAACCGATTTTCATGATTTTTTTGTTGGAAAGGGGGTACTTCCATAGTGGTCCCATTTCATTTTGGAGAAAAGCATCCACCTCGAAGGGTGGCTGTTCACGCATGAAGATTCATTTTTATTCATAGCGCCTAACTTTAATTTAAGAGCAATTACTTTAATGGTTGATTATACTATTTCTCCAATTCAAGGCGTTTTTCTCTCAATATACTTTGAGAGTTTCATTGTCTCCAGTGTCAAGTCCTGTATGGTGGCGAACTAGGGGATATTTCAATAAAACTTAGCAAATAGATGTAATTCCACGTACTTTTGAGGTCAGTTTTTGTAGTACTCTGTAGAGATTATTAAAATTGAGTTCACTAATCATATTTATTGATTGCGGAATAGAGTCGTTACAATAACAATATCTTGATCAGGCGAATGAGATCATCGACACATGGGGAACGGCCTCTACTTATATAATCCCAACTATATTATACCTAATTAATTGTTTCTTAAGGAGTTAACACTATCTAGCGATTAGATGGCTCGTCACTACCATAAAGAATGCAGAATAGACCCATATGTATGCGCTTCCCCACAGCACCTTCCTCAGTAATAATAAACGAGCTTCTATTACGAATGATCTTTTACTGTCTCTCCGCGATCTACTTATATACCAAGAAAACATTACTGTTCTATAAGGCATCGGCCTGTTCATCAAAGTCGTTGGTAGTAGAAAAATACTGCCAGTCAACCACACCAATTATATGGTCGTACAATTTAGAAATTTCCTACGCTATAAGTAACTGAGCAAGGGAATTCACTCCAGGCCACTATCCTGGACACAAAGACCAGAACCACATTAGAAGTTCATTTCCCAAATAGATCCTACTCGGAACCTCCTCAAATGACCATGATATTGAAGGCGAGGTGTCTCAATGTGAGCCTACATTTTAGGAAGTGAGGAGTGGATGTCGCCCTTCGCGTCCCGCAATCCGAGCGCTGAAAATTAACATGAGAAAATAGTATATACAGGCGAAGAAAAATTTACACAGTTCCGACGTCGACAGCGGGCGGCGTGTCGTTAAACCGCTGGGCAATTTGCAAAACTTTGCGATAAATGTAAATTTAATCAATTGAAAACCAAAATTTGGCGGATTTGTCAGTAGTACCTAAAGAGAAATATCTTCATATATAATCTCACCTACAAAGTACCAAATAAACCGACCTCAAAAGTCATTTATCCCCTACTTTGCCACCCTTACAGATGGAACATTTTCTTCAAATTTAAATGGGACCACTACTGAGGTACCCTGTAGCAGAAGAACTCCATCTGAAATAGTTCGTCCAGGCAAGTACTGCCTTACCCATTTCTGCCGCCAAACAGTAAGGGTGCTGGTGAAATTACAGGCACATTATTGTCAACTTATGTCTCAGGGTGACGGGCGCAGTGGCAATACCTTTGAGTGGCGCTGCAACTGTTATGGACAGGCGTGTAACTAACCATCAGGCGCTTCTCTTTCCAACAAAAAAGAATCATCGTGTAAATATTAAAAAACATACAAAACAAAGTACAGTGGAATTGAAAACCTCCTCCTTTTTTTGAAGTCGGTTCAAAAATTATATACAAAATGAGATAATTTATTCTTAATTTATTCGTTTTGGACTTTTATTTTGACCTGTTTTCAGGATTTTACATGATCCAATAAAGTACATCCTATCGTGTAACAAATTAGCACATTCTTTAGATAATATCCTTAGGTGTATCTTATATTTTTAATAAGACCATTATTTAATAGTATATACCTAAACCAGTTGATCTAGCATAACAGTTTTTCCCGCTTCCCCTCCGGTGACTCGCTTTAAATCTGTTCACACGTTTCATATTAGCGCAATGAATTTGAATAACCGATTAGAACCGATTATCAAGATTGATAACTAATTATACAATAGAAGTAACGTACAAATGGAAATAAATACGGTGCTTACGCAACATAAGGTCTTTTTTTTGCGTGGAGAAATCCTCCTAGAATACCTCTCCGCCGCTGGGGTAGCGGGAGGTTATGCCGGATTGTTGATATGTGCTCTAGTGGGAAGGATCCGGGATCGACTTTGCGCACCGGAACCCCCCCCCCCAGCACCTAGGAGGAGCTGCGTCCTCCCCCTCCTCTCCTCACGACGAAGCGGACCTCACCGCCCCGTCGTCCTCCTCGCGGCTGCCTAACTTACTTAACGCCGCCGCCAAGCGGGATTGGCCCTTACACTCGGAATCTGACACTTAAATATTAATATCGAAAGTAATAATAATTCATAATCTGTTTGTCATTAAGAAAAATAATGATAATGGGATTTGCGTACTCTTACACTGTACTATATGTAAGAGTACGCAGGTGAAACGGTAAGAGTACGCAATAACTATTTTGACAAGATATTATATATTACTCACACAAATCATACACAAATTCTCCCAAACTCCCGTAACCAGTACAAGCTTCATGCCACTACAGATCGCACCGGGAGCACTCAATCCAGGCCTCACGTATAGGCTCTTTATGAATTTCGTGGCAACCTGGGCACCTCAGTTCCTATCTGGTGATAAGATTTTTTAAAATTTTTGTTGCTTTTTTGGTGTTACTTTTTATAAACTTAAATTTTGACATTTTCTTTGGAGTTTGTTTTGATAGAGCCTCATCTTCTAAAGTCTTTTTAAATGGTGAACCACTCAGGACATTAGATTTACCCCTTTTACGGGAAGATCGTATCAAAAAATTTGCACGTGGTAATGGAACCACATCTGAAAGTGATACGTATGGACATTTGCTCGTAGAAGGCTGTGTAGAATCCACAGGTGGTACGGAAGATACCTCAGACAGACTGATAGTAAATGTTTTAGGCGCACTTGTGGCCGATATTTCAGGCACATTGTCAGCTCTTATTTCAGGTTCTGAAAAATTTTCTTGGAGTAAACTCGGACTCTCGCAAAATGTGTCGCTTGATTGAGAACGGCCAAACTTAGCAAATACTTGAGGCACAGCGACAACCGCATTCAGTACATCTGGACATTTTTATCACCACTTAGTGCTTGAGGTACAGCAGCAGGTACAATCTCTTGAGAGGGACATTCCGAATCACTGTTCCGTGTTTGAGGCAATGTAACAGCTGCAATCGGCTCAGATAGGTATTCCGGTTCATCATTCAGAGTGAGCAAAGACACTTCTTTAGAAGCGCAAGGCAACGGTCTTTCTGTTACTGCACTAGCCAAAAAATCCACCTTTGTGAAGATGTCAGGATTGTAGGGGTGGATTCCTATGATCTGAAATCTCTCAATCGCATGTGTAGGTGTTGCTGCTTTCAGATAGGCATGCGTCAATATAGAAGCATTATAGAATAGCAATACAGAATCTGGTAAATAGACACAGCTCGTCCTGGATGATTACGTAGCCACTTTTTGCATTCCGATGCGTAATAGATTTTAAGGCGGCTAAAAATGCATCGATCAAGAGGCTGAGTTTTGTGGCTACTAAGGGGTGGGATCGTAAAAGCATGAATGTGATTTTCTCGGAACAAGTTTACAGCACCCAAAGTGCAGTGCGAAGTGTGGTTATCCAAAATCAAAAGAAGCGAGTTTTCTTTCGAAGGTTTTGCATGATCCTTAAAACGAGACAACCAATCCAAAAATAAAGTGCTATTGATGTAGCTCGAATCTGATACCATTCCTATGGAAAAAGGTGGAGCTCCATCCAGTAATTCCGATTTCAACAAAAATGAAGGTTGGTGGAACATAATTTCCAGCAGCGTTGACAGCATTTACCAAAGTCACATTAACACTGCGTTCTGCACTGGCACTTTTACTAACTCAGCGTTTCCCCTTCGACAAAATCACCTTTGGAGGTTTATTTGGAACTGTTGAAATACCAGTATTATCCATATTATAAATGACATATCCGCTCACGCGATGCGCTCCTCCTACCGCAAAATGGCGGCTTGGTTTCGCAAATTAGAAAAGCATTCAGTTTAAATACAAGTTTTATAAATAAAAATTATTATTCTGCATTGCTAAATAAATACCCTCCGTACTGCCAATAAAAACATTTCAAATAAAATGCAGTAATACACCGCAAATCCTGCACTTAAAAAGCACTAATGAAATGTTTGATGTACTTGGATAAATATGATAATATTCCGTTTGAGTGGTTCTAACGTTTACCATGAAATTACTCCTTAAAGTATAGTTTATAAACATTTATATTCAGTGTTAACTTAAAAAACGCTACTTACGGTATGTTTTCAATAATTATCGTATTTCTGAAGTTGTTTATTTTTTTTAAATTACAGACCCAGGCATTAAAAACTTTATGGTTTGGTAGAGTAGTTACCGAAATAGCAATTAATATTAGTTCTTTTACTTGTTATAACTTCGATATCCGATAAATCGGCATAAAATCTTCACCGGCACCTCCAGGTGTGGTATGCGTCTACACGCACTACATGCAACCGCATGTACCGCGTGAGCGGTTAAATATATATGTTCGTATTTAGATAAATAGTATGTTAGATTTTATATTTTATATAGAAATTGATACATAATAGCCCTGTCCTCGATACTATTATCCCGCATTCCATCTAAGGGAGAAGGGGGTGACTGAAAACCAGCGCTGCAACTGTCATCAACAGGCGCAGCACCAGCTGAGGCACCTCCTTTTGCCTCCTGTTTATTACGTCATTTAATATAAGTTTATTTGTCATTTAAGTTTTATTTATTATCGTTTTTTGTACAAGTTCTGTTTACATTGGAGGCAATAAAGAGATTTTATTATTATTATTATTATTAAAAATGGCATGAGGTGGAAACTTATACTTATTAAGCAGTTTAGATAAATTGTTGAAATAGCGATCACATTGAGGCTTGTTGAAGCCTATCGCCAGAGCAATATTGGTTGAAGTAGGTCTTCTCAAATGTCGCTTCATGAAGAGCCTCTGATCCAGCCATTTCCTTTTCTTTATTAAAACGATGTTCTAACCCATTTTTCTCGGCAAATATATAGGCGATTTCTCAAATTTTTGCGGTCGTTAACAGAATGTACTCGCGTAACTGTTTCTCCATTTCTATAGAAAATGTTGCAGAGTACCTTCCTAGGTTGGAGGCGGGAGAAGACCATTTCAAACGCTTACGCGGAGTAGCTTCGTGCATCTGAGGTGAACGAGCAACAGATCTGATGCTTACACCACCATCGATCCTTGTTTTGGCGTCATTTAGTACTACAGGAGGACAGAGACTCCTTTCACTACTTCTTTTTCGTCTCGACATTCTGTGAACGAAATTAATCTTATTAGCAAATTTATTTTAAATTTAATTTAGAAAAGCAGTGTAACAGTACGCGCTGACTCTTGCAACACATCGAGTTTAAGGCGTACTCTTGCATATTTTATCAATTTCTGACTAAACCTACCACTAACCCCATCTGTTGCAAGTTTCTAGAAGCGTTCCCGGTTTGACCTCTAGACAAATTTTATGGCGATTCGGTACAAAGTCAGTTTTCAAAAAGTATGCTTATTGGAGTCTCTGTCACAATTTGAAAATGTCAAAAAGTTTTATGAAAACACACAAAAATGTTTAAATTTATGTAGTTTCCAAGTTTTCAATAATTGTCGAATTATTTTTCACAAAACATTCTTTACTTGTTTGCACTACAAAATGACACTGAAGTTAGTCGCGTATTGCAAACAACTTTGCGACAATCTTTATTGCGTACTCTCATCGGATGTGTCTTCGTAGACCAGGCTACCCTAATTGTCCTTTATCTGTCCACCTGATCTGTATAAACATCGAGATTGCACAGACTCATCGTGATTGGTCAATGCCATCCCACGTATCACGATAATAACACGGTTGATTCTATTTAACATCATTGTCTTGTTTTTCAACGTTATTGTCGAAAATAATTTGTAACAAGTCAGTTCAGTCCACTTATTAATAACTGTTGTTTTTATTTTTATTAATCAAAATGATTACAGAAATATTAGTGTTCACATTAACGTTTATTGTCGGGTACTTTTTTTATCTTCATAAATTAGCTACAAACAGGTTTAAACAATGCGACGTGAAATTTGTACCGTGTTGGCCAATATTCGGTAACGTCTTTTACAGTGCTATAATGAAGAAGCACATATTAGAAGACATCAATGCCGTTTATACAGCTTTCCCGAATGAGAAGTGAGTATAATTTCATTAAAAACACTACCAGAGAATAAAAAGTAACGACAAAGGTCTTACCCTAGCTTTATACACTACACCGCGCCTTTGATATTGATGGTCACATTGACGGAAAGGCAACAACGCTCTCAGCGAATTTTGTTAAAGACAATTCTTGACGTTTAAACATTTAATTTTTAATTTATTTATTAGTTAACTGTATGATGGTCGTGATTTGCCATATACAACTGTTTATTCATCTAAATGAGATAAACAGGGTTCTTTCGTTAAAAAACCTTTTTTAAGATTTCGAATTTTCAATATGATGCCATTTCATAACAGATTATTTAAAGATAAGACTTATAAAGAAAAATATTTTAGTGTAGGTAATTAATGGCAGTGTTTGTTCCTATTAATTTACTATGTTGTTTTTTGTTTAAACTACTTATTTGACTTCAACTGATGTAATTTACTGTTGTTTTAGTTTTCAATAAATAATATCATTAGTATGCTTAATTATCGTATTATTTACATAATATAATACATTCGTTTGCTCTTAAAAAGTAATTGTTAAAAAACCGGATAACAAATACCACAAGAAAGTGATGGATAACCCACCCTATCACTTCACGAACACATTTTCGCGTGTTCATACAGCGCCTTACTATACTTAGCAGTAGTAGGTAAATAAGTTTCTACCGTTGTATGGAATGTCCGGGTGTGGCACTACCAAAAATAGACGAGAGCGTATGAGAGGCACGATGCGGGTGAATCAAAACTACAGAGGTTTGTGATTGAAGAAAATCGAACTCCGCCTCTCTCATTGCGTAACAGAATTACACCATACGATTATAATACACTCTATTAAAATTAACTTGCCACAGTGGCCGAACGGTTACCCGGGTTCGATTAACAGCTGGGAGAAATTTGTATGGCCTATATTTATTTCTCTCGTGAGTTTGAGTGTAGTATGTGGTTGTTTATGTGTATGTCCATGGCACCAGTGACACAGGGTTTCCCTAGTAGGGGACTCTTAAAAAAAATGAGCTGCCTTCTCACGTAAAAGATGCAGCAGTCTCAATCGTCTAGGCGAAAATGAATCTACAAACTGTTAACATTTTAGATCGATTATAATAATCAATCGATACGTAAAATAGTCGCAAGTGGCAATTGCATTTAGTCCAGTTTGTTTACCTATCAATGACGTCACGATTTTGAAGTTTACGTGCTGCCGATTGCGCAGAATTTTTTTTAAAATCCTTTCAAAAATTTTTTAGTAAGTAGTAATGAATTTTATGGTCTTGAAAATTTTTATTTAGATGAACATATTTTTGTTGGCAGTATACATAAATTTAATAAAGTTAATGTGAAATATTCATTGATTATTTATTATTAATTATTATTATAGTTAAATAAATTCCCTAGAGTTGAGACTTTCTGAGCGGTTGTTTATATTACAAAAGTAATTAACTAAACGTAAACAAACCGTAACGAAGTGTTTTATGAGGCATTACCTGGTTACTTATTTTAAAAATTGAATGGAAAATGGTTGTACGATAATATTTTCAATAGACAACATTCCATGTACCTATTTAATATAGTACTAAATATATAATATTTAAATAAAGATGCTTAGTAACACGTATCACAACTTTCCTACGGTGAACAACCTAAAATACAGCCCATAATATGCGACCAAATTATTTATTTATTTATTATTACTCTTAGCGATGTAGCAAACGCCATCTACATCCTAGATTTGCCTTTTGATTTAAAATTTTTATAAGAACCCAATTTCGTGCACAATTTAAATGGATGCCCATCCAACGGCGTAAGAGATCTTCATATTTCCCTTCTTTACTTAATTCTATTCTGTCCCTTTACTCCTCAAATTAAGATCGCTATAGTTTCCACTCTTCTACACCCTGCCGTCCCCATAGCTCTCTTGCTCTCTTACTAAACATTACCATTATTTATTTTTTTTAAACTATTCAAGGCATATTTACTTAACGCCCAGCAATCGCCAGCGTAGCTGTTTATGTGTCGAGTTAGCATGTTAGCAGGTTAAGTTATAATTTATTTTTCAGTTAATTGTTATTACTATAATTATGATTGTAAGTTAGTTAAGGGCAATAAATTTAATATTTTATACATTTTGATATATATAATTTGATACAATTTAAAGTTTGGATGAATATAACATACAAAGGAAAAAAAATTGGTAATTTTAATTTTCAATTTGTATATTTGTGACGTCGACTGTGTTCTGTGCCGCACGAATCATCGCCGAATCCACTGAAAATCAGCGTCCAACCACACTTTCAGTGAGACGGCAATAGCTGAGTGGATGACGGTTCAGTGGCTGCACAGCTCACATCCTGTCTCCCTTATCTTTTGTTTCTTCTATTTTTTATGTTTTTGTTTTGTTTGTAAATTGTATGTGTGCTGTGCTTTACATTGAATAAATAATTTCTATTTGTATTTCTATTACCTCTAATTTTTATTCCAACTCTTTTACCGTTTCTGCTATGAAACGGTGGAATTCTCTCCTTGAATCGATTCAGCGTTCCCTTTCTCTTGAATACTTCAAAGATCATTTCCAAGTTTCGTCTTTTTTCCTCTATCCTTTCATTTATTTCCTATACTTTTACTTCATTTTTCTTTTTCCTTTGAGAAATTGGAGTAAGTTAGTGTGAATTGTACGTTAAGTAAAATATTGGATAAGAAATAATAAAACAGAAATTAAGTAAAAGTTATATAATTTCCGTACTGGATTGTTTAATTTTGGTGTAACCTGTAATTCCATAATAGATGTACAGTCCCTTGCAAAATTGGTATAAATCTCATTTTGTTCAAATTTTAACAGTTTAGATAATATAGCAACATCGTTATGAAGAAGACCTCTAATAATACAGCTTGAAAAAGATAGTAGCGTTAATTTTAAATTCCATTTATAAATTAACGACGTATTCTCTGTATTTTATTAAGTATATAAACGTTTATTATTATTATACAGATTTTGTTATGTATTAATAATATTTGTATGGATATTTCTATTTACGTATGTGAGTTTATTAATGTTTATTATGTAGTGTTTTATAATGATATTCCTTGGTTGCACCCTTTTTGCATATCCCAAATTTCTATCTTAAGGTTGCCTGGAAGAAATTGCTACGTAAGGCCGCCTGTTGCACATTACCTTACTATCTTTATACCTAAGTTACTGTATTGTATTTTAACTATAATTTTATGTGCTGTGAAGAATATTTCATTCATTCCGAGTATAGTAATTACCTAAGACATGCTCTCTTTTAGATATGTTGGCTTCATCGAAGCCATCCAGCCGATAATCTTGGTGCGTGACCCTGACCTGATTAAGACTATCACAGTGAAGGACTTCGATCACTTCATGGACCACAAGCAGTTTTTCCCTTCGGACATCGACCCTCTGTTCGGAGGCAGCATACTTATGATGCAAGGTAAACATTAAAATTGTTTTAAATTATGTATAAGTCTTATATAATTTCTTTGATACATAGGTCATGAATGTTAATAATAGCTCCCGTTTCTTTTTTTCTATATATTACATTGCAAAGTTACCTAACTGGGTAACGAAATACTTCCATAGATTTCTCATAGATGGCGCTACGGCTAAAACGTTGAAAACCAAATACAAGGCCCCGACAACAAGCACATGGAAAACTGGTTCGTTCCGTGGCTTAGTTGGTATAGCGTCTTACACGATTTGCTTGCGTCGATTCGAATCCGGCCGACTCGAAGGATTTTTTTCTAAGTATTCGATCTTTGAAACTAGTGCAGTAATTTCACAAAAAATAATAGAATATCTATTCAATACAAATTTTATTACATTGCAAGTCAAAAACCACCGAGTAAGAACACCACCACATAAACAAAAAAAGGAACGCCTGTTACATGGGCCTAAAGTGACACGGTGTAACGATTCTGACCTCCATAATCGTGATCTCACCTTTTTATCATCCTGTTTCATGGTTCCTGGTCACTTATTTTTAAAATTTTGATTAGTTCTCAAATTTCCTTTTCCTTCACGATACTTACTTTAGTTCTTTCCGTCGTCACTCTCACCAAAATTTTTGAAATGACTGGACGTGCCTATAAATGACTAACTACCGCCATTTCGTTATGTTTGAACTTCTCAGAACTGTACAGTTAGTATTATATATTTATAGGAAGTGTTTTATAAAAATTGTACTTTTTATGTCATTTTATTATTTGTTACAACCTTCCTTTTCCTCGTTTTACAGTAAATCTGGTGGACCAAGCCATCTGCATTCTCATTTCTCTAACGCTAAGCTGCAACTGTAGCTCTTCGGGAATATTCAATCGACTTCGTGAATTGTCATATAGATTTCTGTGGCGACTTGGATAGTATGGCAATGGCTTGATCCGAGAGCTATTTGCTCGCCTGACTGCCACATTGATGTACCTACTGCTGGCTTGAAATTACCTCTTACACTGAGCATGTCTTGATGAGGATTTATGTTTATGTTTGTCTTTTGTTATTTTGCTTTAACTGTCCTAAAGGAAAGTTATAATGTCTGAAGAGGCTCGGGTTTTGGAGGATCAACGGACTTAGTTCCTTTCCATACTGATAAATTTACCCAAAAAAAAAAACAAAAAGTAATATATATTTTTGTAAGTAAAAATTAGTCGACTGTCATTTTTTCATTCATTTGTTTTAATTTTCTACTTCTTCTTAAGGTTGTTTTCCACTGGCGAGGCGAAACGAGGCGAGACGGGTATTGAAATTTGTATAACAAATTTTCAATTCTCTTCTAACGTATCTGCGGTAGAAATGAAATATGGACGAGGCGAGAATTGAAATATTATTTGTTGATGTAATATTGAACCATATTGCAGCCTGCATAGAGTATTTATTATACACTATAGCACGATCTCGTTTGAGCTCGCGCGTGCTCGCGATGGCTATTACAATCAATCGCGAGATTATTGCGCACGATTTGAGATTAAAAATAGATTTCATCCGATTTTTCTTCCGTTAACATATTTAATGATAATAATTTACGGGACATGTTACTTCAATCGCGTAGTTATAGCTAGATGAACTAAACAGCACTGAATCTTCACTATCCACACATTTCAATTCTCATCTCTCCTCGCCTCATTACGCGTCGCCGGTGGAAAACTACCATTATTCTTCTAATTTCCTTTGTCGAATGGTTTGCGGTTGATTTCACGTTCTTCTTCTTTCTCTTCTTCTTCGTTTATAGTCAATGTTAAACTGTAACCATTTTTAAATTTTAAGCCGTTTCTGCTTTGTCAAAAATCGTTAACAAAATGCATTTTGTGTAATTTAAATTTGTTTACGAATTATTAATTGATAAAGATTTATAATGACGATATACTCAAACTAATAATTAGCCACAAATTACAATGTAATCTACGAGATAACATGAGTTATTTATAATTTATCAACTATAGGTAAATGTTATGCTTAGATTACAATTTATCATTTCAATTCTTTATAAATGCAACTCATTGTTTACTCAGTTTGAAGAACATAATTTACAACAATTTATATTATTTTATACAAATACCACACAGCAACGGTTTACAGGTCTGACCAATAAGATTTTATAACCAGAAATAAGAGACGAAATGTCATTTAATCTGTTTGAAAACTATTCTGCCATATCATTACTGTGACAACTGCGCTCCGATTGGCCAGCCCGAATTCAAAACAATTGACGGGTGTCGTCAATTGTTTCACTTCAAATCGACCAGTTTAACTTGAACTTTGTTATAATGGACGAAAATTGCAAAATTACACATTTGATTACCTATGAAGTATGATTCCGTTTGTTTTGTAATTAGATGTTTTGCTGTTTTTCCCACACCACCGAATGGAACAGCGCAAATTGTTAGAGATATTATTATTATTTATTAATAATACATTAAATACACAGGTCAGTTATTGGCGCTGTATTATTTCAGTTTTATAATTTGTGATTTCAGAGCAAACGAGACTTGATATTTAAAAGTGATATAAGGCCCATTTACCTCATGAGTTGCCAGGGATAGATGGCCCTTATTTTGTCTCTATTTCTGGTTATATACTCGATGCCCATTGGTCAGATTGATTTGTCAGCTTATGGATAGTTTCGGTTGCTTTGAACAGAATACATAATACCAAAAAAATTTCTCCGCGGTGACATAACTCGGCCCATGGCAACTTCCGAAATCCTTACGAATTAACCACGTACTAATCACCTATCTTTTTCTCGCCAATGAATATGTCTATTCATTGGAGGAAATCCGTTGTTTTCACGATTCCAAAATGAATGAATAGGCAAATTGAAATATACTGAAATAGGATAGAGTAGATTAACAGGTGTAAGAGAGAAAGACAATGAATCACTGTCCCAGCTCTGTCGGTGTTAACGTATCCAAATTAAAAGCGAAAGACTACGCGAAAGTAACATTTTTAAATGGCATGATTATAATATTTTGTTTATATGTTTTGGTAACTGCCTCCGTGGCCGAACGGTTACCATGCCGGACTGCCACGCAGAGGTCCCAGGTTCGATTCCCGGGCCGGGCGAAATATTTGTATGACCTACATTTATTTCTCTCGTGAGTTTGGGTGTAATTTGTGGTTGTCTATGTGTGTGTCCATGGCACCCGCTACACAGGGTTTCCCTAGTGCGGGGCTATGTTGAGTGTGTGCGTTATTATTATAATCCCAGATGAGATTTATGTCTGTCTTTCTATATCTTTCAAACTCGAGAATTCTCTGTACTATCAGCACCAAAGCAAAGAGGACTACCCAGAACACCCAGACCAGAACCAGTTTACAAACATTCATTTTCAAAATTGATCGATGTTTGAGGAATCGAACCCGAGACCTCCTCATGCAAGCCGTTGGGCCACCGAGGTCGTCTGTCGGTCTGTATATCTGTCCGTGTCACCATTGCTTCCTAACGGCTCATCATCAACTTACACGTATCCACTGTTGGACGTAAGACTTGATAACTTTGTTCCGTAGACAAAACTCTTCTAAGTAAACCCCAAATTCCTATGACCCTAATACCCGTAGTGAAAGGAGATACATACATATAGGACAAACGTTTATAAACAATGAAATGTTTAGTGAAATGAGAATGCCGAAGGCTCAATCCACAAGATTTATTGTAAGAGATGATAAAAGAGGAAAAGAAAAGTAGTAACAAATAATAAAATTATATAAACGAGGTACACAATACACAATGCTCACCCCAATATAATTATGATAATTTTAATAGCATCAACGTAAAGTTTGCCTTATACTGAATAAGTCGGTGCTCGCGAGTACGTGTAAATCAAATGAACGTAGACGCTCGTTGCGTTCTCAGTTACCTTTCACAGTGCTTGGTCTAGCGTCTTGTGTCTGTGATTTCGACGTACGGGTCTACCTATAAATCTTTGGCACTGTGAAAGGGAAGACGCCAAGACAAGTGCGCCCGCACATGCCGCCGCGCCCGCGCTTGCACTCTGAATGAACCCATAATAAGGAAATAAAGGTGATTTGTGATTTATGGGCACGTCCTCTGAATCTGAATTGATTGACAATTTTGGTGGGAGTGACGACGGATCAAACATACATAAGAACTTAGAATAATAACGCATAGAAACCTAGTCCGCAAACGCTAAGTGAGGCAAATTGAAGCGCGCTCAATGGGCCTACACGAGCGGGCGGGCCTTCCGTGCTCAAGGTCAACTTGCACCGCGAACAGCTCCGGAATTTTAGCTAAAAATGACGAAATGTGCGGTAAATGAGTGTAAAAATACGTCAGACAAACATAAAATAGATACTAAACATCACATTCCACAAAGAAGTAACGCGTTTCAACTTGTATTTTTATATAAATATTCACTAAAACCGAAAATTAACCTACTACTAAAACTAGCCTACATGAATTTGATTTTTGCCTCACTTGTGACAGTTCGTTTGATATGAAACTATCATTCTATGCGTTATTATTCTAAGCATAAGAATATAAGGGATAAGAAAATTCGGGAACGATTCAAAATTTAAAAAATAAGTAGCCTGGAACTAAAAACGAGGATGATAAAAAGGTGTGATGACGTTAAAGGAGGTCAGTACTATCACAAATGTAACCGATACGAAAGACAAATAAATATATGCGCACAAACAAATAAACGCATTCTAGGTGTAATAAGGCCAAATCTGCAAAATAGCAATTTTTCAGAAGAGATGTTTAAAAGATTACACGAACGAAATTGTTCGATTTCTTTTTACTTAATTTGTTTTGTGTAGTTCTTATTATTTTATCACTTTCATGTGATAAAAAGTATATCTTTTATCGAGGAACTAAAACGAGCCAATATAATACCCGAGAGGGTTAGACACGCGAGCTTTAGTGAGGGTATCTATTACTCCGATAGTTTATATTAGCTTTTTAAAACTTTACTTTTCACTTCGAGACTCTATAACAAAATTACGAATCAAAATTCTGAAATTTTCGCGCTATTTTTTTTTTACAACTAGACACAGATACAACGAACGCACTAACGCTGGAAAATATTATGGCGCCACCTTCTATGAGGAAAAGGCACGGCAGTAAAACCGTGCGTAATATTGGCTGTTTGATTTTGGTCACTCGAAGTTATTAAGAATTAAAAAATAGGTACTTTTTATTCCCAAAGGACGCACTTTACTCCTGCTACGTAAGGCTGTATTGACATACTTTTAGAGCATAAGAAGTTAAAAAACACTTTTGACTTGTAGCTTTATTATAATAAAGTATTCAGAGTGACAGCGGACGCTGGTGCGTTACATGTCCCATGATCACGGTTGACTATATGGGACCTGTAAAGGGCCCGAAACGTTGGTTTGTCTGAAAAAACAAATATACGCGATTTATATAAAAGTTAGGCCTGTCCTTTTATATGGCAGTGAAACGTGGCCCGTACTTGAGCGTCATAAGCAGGAGCTGCGTGTCACGGAAATGAAGATGCTGCGCTGGATGTGTGGAGTTTCACGGAAAGACCGTGTCAGAAACTCCCGCATCCGCGGCAACCTTCATGTCCGTGACATTGCAGATAAACTGCAAGAAAGCCGCCTACGTTGGTACGGCCACATCTTACGGAAACCGGCATGCTACGTGGGAAACAAATGTCTGGCTATGCCACCTCCGCCGGGCCCCGGTAGAAGGGGCAGACCCAAAAAGTGCTGGCTTGACGTCGCCAAGGGTGATATGCGTGCCAATGGTCTCACCACTAAGGATGCCGAAGACCGTGCAAAGTGGAGGAGAAAAAGTAGGAAAGCGGACCCCGGGCTCCGCAGCAACCCTGCTGAGGACGCAACCGGGACAACGCTAAGATGAGAGAGAGAGACGCGATTTATATAAAAATAGATTCATTTCCTAAGTTTTACTCAACTTTTCTCTTAATTTCTCATAAGTAATTACTTTGTATGTTGAAGAAACAGGGACTGATTGGAATCCCGTAAGATTCTTTTTATATTTGTAAGATCTCAATGTTTCAGGTGAAAAATGGCGCGACATGCGAATGACCCTCAGTCCGGCGTTTACTGGCGCCAAGATGCGACACATGATGCCGTTTATGACCGAGATCAGTCAGAATATCATCAAGTACTTGAATGGTAAGCTATTAAACTCTACTTTTTAAAATGTATAAAATTTTCATTGTGTCGCATTGAAGAATTACTGTGCCTAAATAGTATATTTTTTATCGAGGGACTAAAACGAGCCAATACGTATCCGAATGGTTAGGCATCCGAGCATTAGCGGGGTTGTCTATTACTCCGAGGGTTTATATTGGGTTTTAGTCTTGAGGTGAAAACTTTACTTTTCACTTCCATTGCGAGAAAAAAATATTTCAATCGTCTCTGCTCTACAATAAAATCACGAACAATTTTTTTTAAATAAATTGTTACTCATTCAGCCTCTCCACCATACAACCTCTTTAAATATTTAGTATCTCACGAAGCAAAATTCTGAAGTTTTTGCGGTATTTTTTTTCCAACCAGACAAAGATACAACAAACAGCCACGATTAGCTGTCTGTGGCAATCAAGAGCGTTTTTCTTACGATTTAAGTTCTACATCGCGTTACTAAAATGTCACACACGAGCGTCACACAGTCGCGTCAACGCACAAGCACTTTTTTAAATTGAATTTCCAAGCGCAGCGATTTCTTTGAAACTGTAGGTTTATTATAATGTTAAAATATAATTATCTTCTTTTTTTCTTTTTATGATTATTTTTAAGTGTTGTTTTAGTTGTAATTACATTGTTTCACTTATTGAACTTTTACCTTTTGGCACAAACTAGAGCAAATACTGGCTGTTTGAGTCTGTCTAGGTTACTAGAAGTAAATTAAAAAACTAGGGACTTATGCACTTTACTCCCGCTACATAAGGCTATATTGATGTACTTTTAAAGTAAGTTATGTAGTAGTTTTCGGCAAATACAGAAACTGCTAGTGCATTGCATTATTTAGCCCTTATACTTTAAAATACAAGGATGTTTTCTGAAATGTATCCGATACAAACCGTCAAGCGGACTACCTTTCGGCTGTAGTCGGGATTTTGTAACTTTGACTACCGAAGAGTACTACGTATCATGAAATTTGCGTTTCCAAATGTATTGGATAGCTTAGACAATGACAAGGCCATTGATCCCATGCGATAGTATCCAAAAATAAAATTAGACTTTTCAAGTTTTTGAATCGAAATTCGTTTTCGTTAAATCTGACAAATCTGAAGATACTAATCCATCTATTAACGATTGCGGATCGGTACACCTTAGATTAATCAAAACCAACATCGCTTAAATTCTATCTATCATATTTTTTCATGATACCCAGGGACGGGTCGGGTTCAAACTTCAAAAGTTTCAGTGCCACACAGAGCTGTAAATCGCAAAGATTTGTAGGGCACTGCAACTGCGACCGTCACCCTGAGACATAAGTTGACAAGTCCATGTGCCAGTAACTTCACCAGCTCTCTTACCATTCAAAACCGGAACTTTGGCGGCAGAAATATATATTTCCCTGGATGAACTCGTTTACAAGGAGGAGCTCTATTGCTACATTATACTAATTCGGTATCTACACGTGTTAGCAATTGCTGGTCTCTAATTGTGAATTCGTTTATTTTTTATTTTGCAATTAATACTACATTATCGCAGAGGCCGGGACATAAGGAATTGCTGAACGAGTATGTGTTACAAGGACGAGCGCCTATGAGGCTTTGTATTAATACGAGTCAAGCAATCCCCGTTGCCGCCGAGGCATGTATACTATTTTTCTCAAACAATGCGAGGAAATAATAAAAGAATAAAGAGGGGAAGATGTATAACAGAAAAAGTAAAAAAATATTAATTAATATGAAAATAATATGTGACGTGTTAAGACAATTGTTAAAAGAAAATGTTATTGTTTTTCCAGACACATTAAAAGTGGTCTGCTGAACTTCTGATTATGTGTTTTTTAATGTGTATCTAATCTATTACTGTATTTTCGTTATCGCTCTTCTCACTCGCACTCATTTTAACGACCAAAATACAAAAAAGACGAAAAAACAAAAGAATACAAATTTAGTTTATAAGTTACCGCCATTTTCAATTTTTTTAAGTAAGCGATACAGGTAGGTATATTTAATTCTCGCAGCTATGAACACTGGACAGTTGGCTGTATGAGTTTGTCTTTTGCCTGTTTACATAGTTCATTGTTAATAAGTAGGTTAAAAAAATTTTTAAAAGTGGACAGTAATTTACAGTAATTTTGCAAGGTCTATAAATGACCAACTTCCCGAGTCCGTTTTTTGAAACTAATGTAAACATTTCCGAGCATGTTTGAGAAAAATACATTAATGCCACAAAAGCTCGATTTCGGAATTACTGATCGAAAGTAAAGTGACTCATAAAAGAATAATTATAATCTTTTCAAATCATCGAGTATATAACCAGAAATAGAGACGAAATGTCATTTAATTTGTTTGAAAACTATTCTGCCATATTATTACTGTGACAACTGCGCTTCGATTGGCTAGCCCGAGGTCGAAACAATTGACGGGTGTCGTCAATGGGTGTCGTCAACTGTTTCACTTCAAATTGACCAATTAACTTGAGCTTTGCTATAATGGACGAAAATTGCAAAATCACATATTTAATATTTAATTATCGATGAAAAGTGATTCCGTTTGTTTTATAATTAGATGTTTTGCTGTTTTTCCCACACCACCGAGTAGAACAGTACGGCATTGTTAGAGATATTATCTTTATTACAATAAATACAGAATATTTTTTGGAATATACGGAGACGTACACACAGGTCAGTAGTTGGCCTGTCTATATTTCAGTGCAAACGAGAGTTAATATTTATAAAAAGCTTTATCGCCAATGTGTTACCAGGAATATATGACCCTTATTTCGTCACTGTCTCTGGTTATATACTCGACGTTTCAAATTGAACAAATACGCGGTATTTCCTTAGAATATTATTTTTTTCCATCCTCTAAGGGTATTTCTAACCTTTTTTGCAACTTAGTGGGAAAGAAGTATAAATCAAAAACTGAACGACCAAGAAAGTTTAGAATACTCCGTATCATAACAAATTTTCATTCCTACAACCATTAATATTATTTGCTTGTATTTATCAACGTAATTAAAAGTTTACGACACATGATAATATAAACGCATGGAAGTTATTCACAAAATTCAGGATTCCGTAATATTATGCGATAATTATCTTCTGACGAGTTTAATGCTAAAGACGTAGTTTGGTGTACCGTGGGTTTACTCTGTAAGAAATATTATGGAGAACGGCTTCTTGTATTTTCAGTACATAATAATATGTTTTTTGTAGTACATAATAATCAATGAATTCATTTGAACAAATTGAAAACTACGTTTTTTTTATAACATCCAGTGAAGGGACGAACAAGTCGTACACCTGATTGTAAGCTACACGCCTGTACATAACAGGTACAGTGCCACTCAGAGCTTTAAATTGCAAAAGATCTGAGGGGCACTGCCACTGCGCCCGTCACCCTGAGACATAAGTTGACAAGTCCCATATGCCTGTGATTTCACCAAAATTAGATAAAGATGTATGGAAAGACGACATGGCTCTAGATTCCACACAAATTTGATTAAAAGTGTATTCTATTGAAAAGAGCAACCAGTAGAGTTTCTTGCTCGTTCTTCTCAGGGAAGTCGTTGTTGAAATGACGTTTTAAAGTGTAAACTTATTATATAAATGACTCTTTGACTTTGATACAAGTTTAAATTTTAATTGAATTGATTTTCAATAATTTTTATATGTGAATTTACTCCACTAGTTTGTTATAATTATTAATACAAAGATCGAACACTCAGAAAATAATCTTTCGATTCGAACCGACATCTTCTAGCATACCTTGGCAGACGCTATACCAGCGGACCTCACGAACCAGCGGACCTCACGAATTTTTCTAAGTGTCTATTGTCGTGTCTTTTGTATTTGGTTTTTTCAACGACTTTTTAGCCGTAGCGCCATCTATGAGAAATCTTAAGTATTTCGTCACCCAATTGGATAACTTTACAGTTACCAGCCCTGGCTACCGGCTTTCTACTTACTGGTTTTGGTACAAGTTGTTTATCAAAGTTTTTTCATCGTGATATTTACAAGACCAGAGAAAAGCTGCTTAGTTACGTACCTGTGTCATCGTTTACGTAAAATTGATGTGCTATCATTCCAATTCCCGAAATTTACCTGAATAATACAATAGAAATAATTATACCGAAGTATCAATGGCATAATAAACACAATTTTAAGTTTTTCCATTACAAATTATAAAATCTCAAAAACATCAATCCTAATAAAACCATTGTTAATTAGTGAATCAAGTCTCCATGACACCAGTCCGAGTCATCTGTTATCCGCTCACGCGATGTTCTCTTCCTACCGCAAAATGGCAGCTATTTGGTTTCGCAAATTAGAAAAGCATTCAGTTGAAATACAAGTTTTTATAAATAAAAATTATTATTCTGCATTGCTAAATAAATACCCTCCGTACTACCAACAAAAACATCTCAAATAAAATGCAGTAATACACCGCAAATCCTGCACTTAAAAAGCACTAATGAAATTTTTGGTGTACTTGGATAAATATGATAATATTCCGGTTGAGTGGTTCTAACGTTTACCATGAAATTACTCCTTAAGTAATAATCTGAGTACAGAATACTAAAAAACCGACCTCAAAAGTTCGTGGAATTACATCTACTTGCCAAGTTTTATTGAAAGTTTTATTGCTTACCGGAAATTGCGGATTCATCCCCTAGTTCGCCTCTATACGGGATTTAACACAAGACATACTAAAATCGGTGTTCTTTGCTCAAAGTACATTGAGAGAAAAACGCCTTCAATTAGAGCATAGCAAAATCAACCATTAAAATAACCAGTCCTTATAAACTTTAGGCGCTATTTATAAAAATAAGTCCTCATGCGTGAACCTTCCACACTTAGAGGTGGAATATTTTCTTCAAAATGAAATGGTCAAAAAACACAGCCGAATTGACATCCACCTCCTTTTTTGAAGTCGGTTAATAAAAATCAATCTATTCATACAATTTCTGTTTTGCAGAAGATGTCAAAGAGAAGGAAGACGTAGATATTAATGACCTCATCCGTCGGTACACCAACGACGTCATCGCATCGGCCGGTTTCGGCATCGTCGTCGACTCCACCAAGGAAAAAGACAATGACTTCTTTACGCACGGCCAGAGCATTTTCAATTTTCGAATTTGGCAGAGGATTGTGTTCTTTTTTGCCTTCGCGGCGCCAGGTATTATCAAGGTAAGAATAAAAGAATATTCTTGATTTGCCAGTAAACTAAAGCTCAATCGCGTTAAGCATATACTAGCAATTGAAATTGACCAATTATACAGGCTGTATATTGAAAGTGAGACATACTTATAGAGTGCGTTATATTCGTGATTCTAAACCCAAAAAAATAATAAGCCAATGAGCTTAAACATCAACTATTTTTTTGTTTTTTTTATCGACTACTACTTGTGAACAACATTACTTATCTAAATCTATGCACACCACTATTATTGCTCCGACGGACGCAACGGCGAAAACAAAGCACTGTTTGCAGAGACAGTTCACGGGCGACCATGGCTTAGCGAAGACTCGTAAATTATTTGTACTTTCGCTTTATTTTTTGTTCTATCCCATATCCTAATTATATTTTAGTCTATGTTAAGTTGTAACATGATTTACTATGACATGCATGAATACGTCTCACTTTCAAATATACAGCCTGTATAACCATGCACATTTTTAATGAAGTGAATATCCCTTTTAGTATTTTGTAGTACTCTATGTGCATGGTTTAATTGTTATTACGTGCACGTGATTTAACTAATATAAGATGTTTCTAATAACAAAGTTTGACTTGATATAATAAGAGACGTAGACGTAAGTACTGGATAGGTACGTTAAAACTGAGGAAATTTTATGAAACACAAACTGGTCATTTCGATTTTTCGAACCTAGAATATTCGTATAAAAGAGAAAAATGAGGTAGATGCTGCTGTGATATGGAATTGAATGGATACCATAAATTACCAAATAAATAAATTTCTCGATCATCGTAGAGCTCAGCCAGTTCCGTTTTCGCCGTTTTTGCTACTTAGATGTTTAGATCCCGTAGTACTCAGAACCCATATGAAGCTCAACAAATTGTTCGTCGTCTAAAAATGTAAAGGGAAGCGACCTGACGACGAAATGCAAAAACGTTGGATTTAGTTAGGTTTGTTTAAGATCCTAACTAGACCACCAGAAACTACCGTATTATGAAAAACTGACGACTTAAGGAAAAGGATGAAGATATTGATTGACCAATGTATCCGTTTTCAAAAGTCTTCATGACTTTTGAAAACGGGTACAACCCTTAGCAATAAAGAACTCTATCATACAATTAAGCAATACCAAAAGTATAATGCCAAAGTACCAGCATCCCTACGCTTTGCTTTCAGAAATATGGATACCTATGAGTAGAACGAGTTTTATGTACGTACGTGTAGTGGCGATTAATGATGTATTGTTTAACAGAAACTAAGGATCCCGCTATTTCCCAAGAATACCACCACATTTTTCAGGCAGCTCGTGTCATCTACAATAGAATACAGAGAGAAGAACAATATTGAACGTCCTGACATGATCCAGCTGCTGATGGAGGCTTCAAAAGGTTTGTTTCTCCTTGATTGTGTGTGCAATAGCAATACATTAAGTTAAATTATACAAAATAATGGTTCTGATAAGAAGGCTCAGGGTCACCCGAAGGGCAATGAAAAGGTCTATACCTGGACTTACACTACGGGATCGAATCAGTAATGAGGATATCCGTAGGGAAACCAGAGTAACCGACATAGTCCAAAGAATTGCAATACTTAAATGGCAGTGGGCTTATGTTCAGCACTGGACGTCTTTCGGCTGAAATGTAGATCGAAAATAATATGGATATAATTGGTACGTTACGCTTTCTAAAACAATTTCATTTTGCAGGGAAACTGAAAGAAAACTCTAAAGGAAACGAAAAAGATAATGTGGGATTCGCTATAGTAGATGAAGCTCTTAAACCGCAAAGTGTAACTAGAAGTAAGTTAATGTCTTCATTTAAAAATAACCAAGGATATTTTTGTTACAGAACTCCCTTCAAACATTTGTTATAGTCCCAAAAAAAGGTTTCTAGAAACCTTTCTTTACCCTGTGATAATTGCTCTTGTAATGTTCAATTTTTGTTAACAGAATGGACTTTTGATGAGCTAACTGGTCAAGTTTTCGTATTCTTTGTGGCTGGCTTTGAAAGCTCTGGCAGTGCCCTCGTCATGACTATACATGAATTAGCTTTAAACCTGCATGTTCAGGACAAATTGTACCAGGAGATCAAAGAATTCAAAGAGAATAACGATACTTTGACGTACGACAACATCGGTGATTTGAAGTACTTGGACTGCGTTTTGAATGGTACACATTGTTGATTTCACAATATGAATCATTGTAATTGTCAAGATTTTTATTTCAATTTTTGTTGTGGTTTTTTATCTTCTACAATTCATTGTTAATTACAGAAACATTGAGAAAGTGGTCGTCAGCATTAATAATGGACAGATGTTGTACAAAAGCTTATGAACTACCTCCAACTAGGGAAGGAGGCAAGCCGTTTAAAGTAAGTATTCAATGAAGTGGCTTTTTAAAAGATATAAAATTAATGTCCGTCTCATCGTTCGTAGTCAACTATAGTTGGCAGCAAGAATCAACCCTGAAACAAGTTCTGTAAAGCTAAAATGACGTCTCAAGCCCCATTTCAATAATATAGCAAATACCTAAAACAGGTGAAGTATACATGTCAGAATTTTAGTAATTGAAGGTCTATAGTCTCTAATTACTTCAGTGGAAGACAGGCAAAATTGTATGTGTATAAAAACTTTATGATTTCTATTACAGCTGAAACCGGGAGACATAGTCTACAACATGGTGAACACCATCCACATGGACGAGAAGTACTGGCCTGAACCGGAAAAGTTTGACCCTGAAAGGTTCTCTGACGAAAACAAACATAAAATCAAGCCTTTTACCTTTATGCCTTTCGGAATGGGACCTAGGAACTGTATTGGTGAGTAGTGTTCTTTGTCTGAAAATAATTCCTT